ATTTTTATAATATAAGTGTTTATTTGAAAATAATTATTTCAGAAAAATGTTTCAAAATATTTTTTTTATTTTTAATAACAGATTAAATATGAAAATAAATTTATATATTTATACCTAAATAGTTACATTTTAATTTGTTATTTTTTATAATTTGGATAAATGTAGTATTCATTTTAAATTAAGAAAAATAAAAATAAAATAAAAAATAACGAATAAAAAGGAATGTATTTGAAGTTTATTCTTTTTTTTTTTTTTTACAGTAAGATTTGGTTTAATGAAAAACAGTTTTTGTTATTCATTTATTTTTGAGATTAGTAAAACATCTTTTATTGATTATTAAACTAAAAGTGTCGAAAAAAGTTTCAAATAAAAAGAAATAAAGTGTTATCAATGAAAAAACAAACATTAAGAAGATGGGTTTTTTTTTATTTTAACTTAACTTTTCCAATATTATGTGAACGTTTAGAATACCAATGGACTTACGGAGCTTATTTTTAATACATTTAAATTTTACACACTGAATTAACATTAACAAATTAACCACTCCCGTAAAAAATCAAATACAACTTCTAAAAAGAAAAAAAAAATACGCAAATAAATATCTATTCAACTTGAAAGGATTATGATTAGCTGTTAACAATATTTTTTCATCGATATTTTTCTACCGATTAATTCAAAACCTATTATCAATTAAATTAACATTTAACAATATTATAGAAAAAGTGAATATTACTTTAACACTTTGTCAATGTCATTATCGTTTAAAAACAACTTTTGTAACAATCGTTCAATATTATAAGAAATGAAGTAAACAATGATATAACAAATAATAGTGAAATAAAATATTAACTTGAAAATAAATAAGTGTAAATGATAAGTAGAAATAAGTGAGAAGAATAATTATCTTGTGGCAAACGGTTTAAATCATTATATAATTAAATTGACATGAAAACTCAAGATGTATTTCAAACTTTTTCCTTATCACATTTGTTTCTATTCTTTATACAAGTAAACCATAGAAAAAGTTTATATCTGGTACTTAAAGATGTACAAAAGATAGGATTTTATGTTTTTTCGAGAAAAATGTTTAATAAACTTGGTTACAAAAAATAAAATAAATGTAAATTTATCACGTAGAAGCTGTATCATCATTCATCATAATATCAACAATGTAACAGATTATAACATTATATTCACACCAAAAGTAATAATAATCAGTTTTAGTTATTGTATTTATATTTAGTGAAATTAAATTCATTCATATTATAGATATTCATTGTACTTTTTAATCTATTAATCAATATGTATATGCTATGTGTATAACAATGAACGTTAAATTATATATTTATGAATATTTATGAATTATTCGTCTTTTCACGATTAATAATTTAATAAACTGATCATTAAGGATATCAAAATCAAAAATAGTTTTTAAAATAAAATAAAATATATTTTTTAAAGTAATTAATGTTTTAATATTTCATTGTAATTTTATTTTTGTTATCAATTAATCGATAGGTTATATTATGCTATATTTTGGTTTATCATACATCGATTAATTCAATACCTAAGGCGCAGAAATAATTACACTTGAATATTAATATATATTTATCATATATTATTACACATTATTTCTTTAGTAATATATATTATATTAATTTAGGTAACTGTATCATTGATATGAACTTAAAGATTACTTTATAGTATATCGGAGTCGATTACCGAATTTATTGATAACGGTTTTAAGCCCTGCTTTATACTATACTATTATTACTTAATTTCACGTTATAACCAAAATCTAACATTAAATATGTATTATTTTGCATTAAATTACAATAATTATTCAATGGAAATATTCATAGAGATTTTCCTCGAATAGACTCGATTGCGTTTACCACATTCAATTGTAGGTCTTAGTAAAAAGTTTTGGTTTATTTTCCGACCATTGCATTATTTTAGCCATATTTAGTTTAGATTACACTAATATATTAATTATTTTATAAATATAATAAACCATAAATTAACTGGATTACGTTATTGTATTATTATTGTTAAGTAATAGCATAAAAAAAAAATAGGAACATAAAAAAATACGCTCATCAACTTCTTAAGACAAAATATAAATGAGTTAATTAAGAATTCAAGAAATAAACTTATTAAATTTATATTTCATTGATAATTAATTAAATTAAAAATTATGATACTTCAAGAGAAGAAGTTATATTTTATATAGTATATACTCCAGTAAGGATTTATTTTTATCCTTATTGTCATATTCATAAATTGTTTAAAATAAAAGAGAAATAAAGAATAGAAGGATGCTTTAAGTGAACCATGTGGCTAAATCAAGCTGTTTTATGTTGTGATTTAAAGTTTCAACTTATTTTAAGTTTAAAGAAAAATAGTTGTTTACATTTCACAGAGAAGAAGAAAGGAATATAGATTAAAAATGCATAAATAACTCTTCATATTTTTTCTCATAAGTCAATATTTAGAAACACTTGTAAGTATTTTACATTTTTTATAGAGAATTTACACATGAAAAAAATATTATGAAATCAGAATGAAGCATTTATTTGTTTCTATTTTAGTGTTCTAATGATATTATAGTTATAAATGGACCTATAATTATAATAGTATTGTATACAGTGATACGTTTAATCTTCATACAAATTAATTACAATATTATTGTAATCACGGTTTTTAATGTATAAAATATTTGATCATAACTATTTTAATTATAATTATTTAATATAATATATTAAGGCTGAGAAGGTGTAAAAATAACATTTCTTATAACCCTCTCAAAATATAGGAACTACCTGCTGGTAATGTTTCGCTATTTTTCGAGCTTGCGTGTTTACCCAAGCCGTTTAATTTATTGTATTTCTAAGTTTGTTTCTGCAGGTGAAACGGCTATTTTTTTCGTTTTTATAATGGTGTAACAACCTTAAATATGTAAATCAGAGTGCATGTACAAAAATTTAACATTTGAGACCACCGAGCAAATTAAAAATTAAAAACACCCGTCGTTCTTTTTAAATGTCTTCGAGACACGATTATTCAAGACCATTACCCACATATTCCACCTGGTCTGACCGATATTTAATAAAACAGTTTTTTATTTTATTTGGCAGTTATCATTCAAAAAAGAAAAAAAGTACACTTTAAATGCTAAAATATATACATATTATATTATACATCTTAAGTTGTACGCACCCGGGTTAATTACGTCACATGGAAGGACAACGGTGTCATTCGTGACCACTCTGAATCTTCTTCCTTGAGAACCGAATGTTGGCAAGGAATCTGGTTCCGGATTTTGAGTTGGTCTCTTAGGTGAAGCAAAACCTGTAAATAATAATTTATGACAATATTTTTTAGGTAATCATAATATATTAAATTAAAATAACTAAATATAGCAACAAGTTAATCAATTATATCAGATATCTAGTCAAAATATTCATCGTACTAAAAATTCCTGTGATAAAATTTTTTGGAAAAATTAAATGAAAAAAAAATACATGAATTTCGCAAAATTTATATTTTCTATGATAGGATAAGTAATTGCAAAACATAAGTTAAGACATAATACACTAGTTATAAATAATAATCTTTGATGTGCTGTAATAGAAGTAAATATCATAAACATTGGCAAGTATAATATTAAAATACATTTATTATATTTTATAATTTTTACTTCAACTAATTCCAATCCTTCATTTAAATCGTATTGATTATTTATAAACGTGCATAAAGTTTACCATATTCGCCCCGCTACTGACGGATAACCGTTTTCTGGCATGAAATAGAGTTAACACAAATTTGACTAGCCCCGTGTTCAGTTGTTTCAAAAGTTTATGACTTCTACTCAACTCTCATTAATATACATTATTAAGTAATTTTATTCATTGTCACGTATCAAAAACTTGTCGGTTTATGAAGTTTTCAAATATAATTTGATAGACTGCTGTATTTTCTACATGAAAAAAAATAATATATAAATTCGTCTAATCCCAATATATGATAGTCTATGTATGTATGTATGTATAGAACTTTATTTTCATCGTGTATTCACGTTATTGTGGTAAGTTCAAATAATGGAAACAGTATTGTAAGTAGTTCGTTCTCAGGTGTATACAATTTCATGTCATCTCTTTGGAATTACACGGGTTTATTTGTAATATTTAAAGCGTAGTGGTATATCGTATATTTATTTTCTAAATAAGCGAATAAATCTGAATAGGATATTATTGAGATACCGGTTAAGTTATTTTCACTGATCAATCATCAATTGCTCGTATCGCATTACTTTCAGCATCTCGACATAGCAGAGAGTAGAGACTGATTCAAATTAAACTTATCTCTTCTAAGAACTATCCAGATACGACATATGATATTATTTAAACGTGTTGCATATAACTTTATAAATGCGATCAGTGAAAATAAAAATATAAGTAATATAATATTATTACTTATTAGTACACATAAACGACAGTGTAAACATGTAAAAAAAAATATATAACAATAATTACACTTATTCATATATTAAATATGAGAAATATAGCAATAATTAACAATTACTATTTAAAGTTTTTAAAAACAATTATCAAGTACCTTCGATAATTTGTTTTTTTTTTTTTTGAATATGATACCTCGACAAAACAAAATTAATATATTGTGTGTGACATACATTTTATTTACTTTATTAAAATATCTTATAAAGGAATCCTTTTGTCAAAATTAAACAAATTTCTTCTTTTTTTTTTAACAGATAAAATTACCAATTTGTCTAAAAACATCCCTACGTTTTTTTATTATTAAAACAGAATATACCTGAGGCACTCTTTATTTTACCAAAAATTAATATCTATCGTACTATACTCAAGAGTCTAACTGTAATATATATATAACGTCTTATTAAGTTACGACTTTCTCGTCTGGTGGTGTGTTAAATAAATTGAACAGATATTATTTGATAAGATTTTACTCATCTCTCATATATCTATTAAAATTAAAATAATTCTGTTTTTCAAAACCAAAAACAAAACACATAATAATCCTCCATTTGAGGCTTTAAATATAATTTATATAAGTGCAATAATGTCTTACAATATATATATATATATAAATATTTTACAGACGAATCACATTTAGGATATGTACAGTCGTGTACAGTAGAAAGTTTTAAGTTATATAATAATAAACATTATTTGGGAATAACTAAGCGTTTTTTTTTTTTTTTTTATTACGTATTTATGTGTACAAAAAATAATGTCTTTTATAAATATTAATTAAAGTTATATTTTCACGAAACCGTGAACACACAATTATTTACTTTTAAGTAAGAAAATATTGTGAATACAATAAAATAAAAACCAGAAATAATGCGCCTCACACACGTCAAGTGTATCTCGAGTGAGAGAAAAAGAGACGGTGCGATTAAACGGGAGTATGTGTGTGTGTGTGTGTGTGTGTGTGTGTGTGTGTGTGTGTATAGTGTAAGTTATTTGACACCAGTAATGGCTTTATTAACTGGTCAGAACAGATAAATAATTCACTACAAGGCAACTTCTGAGCTTACAATATATATATTTATATATATATATACATGAAAAAAATGTTTTTATCTCACGTCGTATGCATCCTGCTCGCGGTATTCTTCGGTGTATAGCGTATCGAACGGTGAGGAGAAAACCGGTAGCGCGGACACAAACGCACAAACATTGAAAACGATTTTATTTATCAGAAAATTGAATCCCTCCGTTCTCTCGCCATACAATGATCGCCACCGCCTCCGATGAGATTTATACTCTTCTCGTTCATCTTTCGCGATAATAATAATAATAATAGTAATAATGTCCTCGGGCCACCGAATTTTCCTTGCGAGCGTTCGCGTAACCACCGTGGCTTGTATAGTATTTACTATATTCTAATTTATTATCTATAGAAGTATATAATAATATCATCATCACTATTATTATTACTATTACTATTGTTATTATTGTTGCTAACGCTGTTCCGCCGTAGTTATGTATGTAATACAAACCGGATATCCTCACGGATTGATAACGCACAAGTATGCATTTGTGGTAGAGTTACCTTCAAAATCACCGACGATGACAGTAAAATTAAGTGTTGTGTTGTTTTAAAGCAAATTTATTTAATTTTAATATTATATCGAGTGCATAAATTTTCGTGACTCATTTGTGTTTACAGGCGACACTCGTATTAACGGTCAGCTACAGTAATAGGTAATAACCGAGTATTAATAATTGAAAACTTTGAACACTACAATAATAATGATATAATTTGTTTCAATAGTCTTTGAAAATATACTTTTATGATTTGTTTTTTAAAACTCACTGCGGGACACATCATGTTAGTTTTAAAATAATATGTGACTCTTCGACTATATAAAAACTTATCACGTGCTTGTTTAGTATTTTTACAGGTTTCATGTGTGCATTGTATGGTTGAATCGAATCTACTCGTTTCTAATAGGAAGGTATACATTTTTCAGTTTATAATTTTTTCTCAACCTAGATTTTGGTGGTTAATTGAATTTTTATTCCTTACAGAGCGGAATTTGATCAAAAGTGAAAATAATTATGTAACGATAAATAAAATAACGGATTTTCTTGCTGGTATTCATATTATGCGGTGGATGCTTTGGAACTTTTGAAAAGAAAATAAATAAATTTATGTAACCCATTCTGTCCTATGCCAAATAATACACAAAGCTATACCTACATATTATGTAGGATATAATACTGCCACGATAGCAAAAAGTTTGCTGTGAATACTTTTCTTGACAAAGAAGTTTTTAGTGACCTTCACTCATTGATCGGTAGTTTTAAAAGTTTCTTGGTTGGAAATTCGTTAAAAGCATATTTACACACGCTGGTCCGCGATGGAAGTTACGAAAACTATAATGAAACCTTGGCCTTCTAATTAAACCATGCTTTTGGCGCAGACGGCTGTATAACTAACGAGCGACAAATGTTTAAGCCCTGACCATTTTACTACCCTGCCGTAACCGTCTTTAAAGGTTGAAAGTGATCGTAGTTTGATTTATTTTGCATATGGTTATACATAACATGTACCATGCACGTCTAGATTTCTGAATTATTATTAAAAAAAAAGGTAGTGAGACGTCGCTTTTATGATTTAAACAAGGGTCATTGACAATAATAAGCCATAAGGGTATAGAAATGTGAAACTTGTGCTTGAGTAAAGAACTATTTGTTAAAGATCATAGTTTGGGTTGATTTAACATCCAAAATAGATTTTTATAAAAATTAAATAAAATTATGGATTCTTAATATAATTTGAATAGACGAAAAACTATTCGTTTTTCGATCCTTTTTTTTATCGTGACATGGATACCGTCATTTTGTTCACCATCGCGTTCAGCTATTTTTATTCATTTTTTAGTTTTCTATACACCCTTCCACTTGATATCCCTCTCATTTCGCATTCAAATTCAGTACTATATTATACCCTAGTAAATTGTACCTAACCGAAGGAAAATTGGAATTCTTAAAAAAGAATTTTAAACATTTAAAACAAAATTAAAATATAAGCTTTTGTAATATAATAGAACGTATCGATTTTTAACCACGAAATAATATTGAAAAACAAAACATCAACCACGTGTGGATCATTAAAAAGGAATCGAACAAGTTATGCGATTAATGTTCATTGATGATGCGTTTTACGCTATAATAAAATTATACTATAACTCGAATAAAACGCTAACTATCTTTATTTTGTTTATTACAGAAACATAATGTTAAACAGAAGAGTCTTGCATTTGACATTTAACGATTATGCGCGACAATAATAAATCATCAAATGCAAATAAAACTAGATTTCTCTTTCTTTTAATTAGTGTTAACGTTTATACATTTCCTTTTTATGGCTAAGACATTTTTGGGCGTAGTATTTAGCATTCAGACGCTTTTCCTACGCAAATACGACTGCATAAGGATCCCTAGAATATAGCTAGTAAATGTGATGTAATTAAGTATTTAGATTTTTTTTCTTTTATCCCATTTCCCACGGTTAATTTATTATCGTTATTTTTGCTGTAGAATATAAAAAAAAAAAAAAGCGGCTAATGGTGAACATTGTCTTTACGCGCAGAATGAAATGACGCTTATAAATTTACAAAAAAACGAGGGCTGTCTCGTGCAGGCCACACCGGTGGATATGGCGGTTCTGTACTATTTTACGCAATAATTTTTGAGTTTTTTTCACCGTAGTCTTAAACACAAGAATTTTACGGTCTGGAAAAATATCTTAAAAATACATAAAAAATAATAATCGAAAACCGGAAACGATTCCGC